TCTTGGGATGCAAGTCCATAGCTCCCTGAAAGTGGCAACACAAGTGGATAAGATTGTAAAGAAGGCATATGGCATATTTGCCTTCATCAGTTGGGATAGTGAGTATAAAAGTCAGCAAGTTATGTTGCAACTGTATAATACTTTAGTTAAGCCCCATTTGGAGCACTGTCCGCATTTCTGGTCACCTATAGGTTGTGCAGGCTTTGGAGAGGGTGCGAAAGCAGTTTACCAGAATATTGCCTGGATTGGAGTGTATTAGCTATTAAGCAGAGGTTGGACAATCTTGAATTATCTTCACTGGAACATTAGAGATATAACATTAGAAGCATATGTAATTATGAGAGACATGGATAGGATGGATAATCAGAGTTCTTATCCGAGGGTGGAAATATCAAATGCCAGGGGCATAGGTTTAAGCTGGGAGGGGAGAAATATAAAGGAAATGTGCAAGGCAAGTTTTTTTTTTTAAACACAGAGGGTGGTAGGTGCCTCAACTGCACTACCAGATGAGGTGGTAGAAGCAGATACGTTACTAAGTTTAAGAAGCATTTAGACAGACACCTGAACAGGCAAGGAATATGGAGATACGGACCACGTGCTGGCAGGTGGGGTTAGTTTAGAACGGCCTCGTAGTTATCACAAACATGGTGGTCCTAAGGGCCTATTCCTGTACTGTACTATTCGACGTTCTAAAACTACTTACAATACTCTAGATGTGGTCTCACCAACACTTTGTACAGTTGCTGGAAGACTTCCCTACTCTGATACTCCAACCCCCTTGAAATAAGGGCTAACATTCCAATAGCCTTCCTGATTACCTGCTGCACCAGTGTGATAGCTTTCTGTGTTACATCTACAAGTATCCCCAAGTCCCTTTGTGTTGTAGCTTTCTGCAGTTTTTCTCAATTTAAGTGTTTTTGGTTCTCCTTTCCAAAATGAATTTCACATTTTCCCACATTATACTCTATTTGCCAACATTTTGCCCATTTACACAATCTATCAATATCTCTCGGTAAACAAAAACAGAAATTCTGGAAAAGCTCGGCATGTCTGGCAGCATCCATGGACAGAAATCAGAGTTAACGTTTTGGGTGGAGGTACCCTTCCTCAGAATGGGTGGCACGGTGGCTCAGTGGTTAGCACTGCTGCCTCACAGCGCCAGAGACCCGGATTTGATTCCGCCCTCGGGTGACTGTCTGTGTGGAGTGTGCACATTCTCCCCGTGTCTGCATGGGTTTCCACCTGGTGCTCCGGTTTCCTCCCACAGTCCAGTGATGTGCAGGTTAGGTGCACTGGCCATGCTAAATTGCCCATAGTGTTCTAGGATGTGTAGATTAGGTGTGTTACAGAGAAAAGGGTAGGGGGATGGATCTGGGTGGGATGCTCTGAGGGTTGGTGTGGTCTTGTTGGGCTGAAGGGCCTGTTGCCGCACTGTAGGGATTCTATGATGATGATGATGAACTGTTTGTTCCCTCTTGCAACCTGCCTTCCCACCTATTTTTGTGTTGTCTGCAAATGTGGCTACAGTACATTCATGTCCTTTCTCCAAGTCATTAATATATATTGTAAACAGTTGCAGTCCCAGCAGTCATCCCTGTGGAACTCCAGTGGTAACATGTCATCAACCAGAAAAAGCAACCCTTATCCTCACTCGCTGTTTCCTTGCCCATGAGCCAATTCTCTATCTATGCCAATATACTACCTCCAACACTGTGGGTTCTTACCTTAAAACAATCTTTTGAGAGTTACCTTGTTGAACACTTTCTGGAAGTCCAAATACAACAGTTATTTGCCTTTAGCCCCATTAGCTTTTCTAATGTACATCTCAAATGATGGTGGTGGCACTTAAATCCTCCCCCATATTCTTACTATTAATGGGACATTCAAAGTATCTTCCACTATAAAGATTGATGCAACATCTATTTAACTCTTCTGCCATTTCCTTGTTCCCCACAACTATCTTTCCAAATTCATTTTCAAAGGGGTCTATGTTCAATTTGACCTGTCTCTTCCTTTACATTTAAAAAAGCCCTTATTGCCAACTTTAACATTCTTTGCTAGTTTTCCCTTTTAGTTTATTTTCTCTGTATTTATTATACATACAGTCCTTTGCTGAATCCTAAATTAATCCTAATCTTTGGGGCTACCACTGTCTTTTCCTCCTTATATGCTTTGTCTTTCAATTTAATACTCTCCTTAACTTCCTTGGTTAGCCATGGTTGGTCTATTCCCCTCTTAGAATGTTTCCTCCTTACTAGGGTGTACTTTTTCTGAGTGTCATGAATTACCTCTGCCTGGCACTGCTTGCTTATTGTATTTCCTGCTAATCTCAGAGTCAGTTAAAGTGAACTGGGCTATCTTAAATAAAGAAAATTAGAATGAAATTAAGATAAACCAATAAGTTTCTCACTCTCAAACTGATCATTATTTCCTCAGACATCTTATACTCTAAGGTAATTTATTAAACCTGTGTCATTACCCATTATCAGATCGAAGACAGCCTGCTTCACGGTCGGCTTCACATTTCTCTGGGAAATTCTCCTTAATGCACTACCCTTTCCAATTTGATTAACCCAATCAACATGAGGATTGAAGTTATCCATAACTGTTCTCTATTTTTTTACATGCTCCTATTATTTGCTGATTTAAAGCCTTTTCAACAATTTGGCTACTGTTTTGGATCTGCACACTACTCCTACCAATGTCTTCTTTCCCTTGCTGGTCTTTTTTTTCAAAAGCCTCGCTCAAATGAACTCTACATCATGAGTCTAGATCATCTCTCACAACTGTCTTCGGTCTTCATTTCTGTGCACAGGCTTTGTACTAATGATGTTCACTATTCCTACAGTGACCCTGACTACATCGCACTTCCTGTAAAGACACCATTCCATTCTCCCAGTTTCTCAGTCTTCATAATGTTCAATCAGGTACGTTTCATAACAACCATACTGACACGTCTTCCTTTTTCGTCAAGTTAAGGATTCGTTATCCATTCTGGTCGACAGGCCCCTCTGCTACGATCGAAATCATGCTCTCATCCCTTTCCCAGGCTTACTGAGCCATGACAGATTTCTCTTGTTCCTACCTTACATCCCTTCAGCTGTGTTCAAGGAATCAACCTCTCGATTTCCACTAGTCATCACCTGCCTCCCATTTCAGCACATTAAAAAGACCGTTTACTACACTGGGCCACTTCTCAGTCACCCCAATACCCTCTTCATTTCCTTTAGCACCATTTTATGCAATCGCAGGAGATATAATATCTGCCCTTTTATCTTCTCTCCATTCAAGGCCAAAATCATTGCTTTCTAGTGAAACAGCAACTTAGAGACATCTTTCAATTTAGTCTACTGTGTTCTCTGCTTACAACGTGCTCTCGTACATATACCGTGACCCAAACACACAGTGGATGACTGCTACTCCACTCATTACCACAAAACTTTTTGTCATTTAATCTTCTGACATCCAACCTATTAGTTTCCCATTTGTCTTTCCCCCTCACTTGTTCAAAACCTATTTTTATTGCAAGATTCCTCAGTTCTGATCTGCAATATTAACTCAATTTTCTCTCAACAGATGCTGCTGGATCTACTGAATTTCTCCAGCATTTTCTTTTTATCATTATTTAGGGAGGTATGTTTGTTTTCCCAGATACAAAGGCTAATGTGAACAATCTCAAGCTCCAAAAACTAAGACAAGCTGCCACTGTATCACTGAACAAACAGAAAGAGGATATTCGCTGTCATACTCTATTTCGCAAATGAACTAGCATGACAATGGTGACTGGACAGAAACCACAGGGCTTGCTCATTTTCGGCCAAAGAAGATGTCTGACACCTAAACAATGTTAATGACCCTTGCACCCTGTAACTCACTGGCAGAACTTCTGAAAGGCCAATGTTCATTTACATTATCTGTTGAAGTGTGAAATGATTTAGAATTCAAGCTGTTGAACGGCTCTCAATTTCTGTTACTAGTTGCAGATCTTACTATTAAACAACTGGGGACAGGAAGAGGTTGCCACCTTCATATACAGAAGTACTGAAGTCTCTAAAGTAGGAAGAGCATGAGAATGTCTCATTACAGTGGGGGTGAGGATCAATGAGGAAAGAGAACAAAGGACTTTCAGTCTCACCTGCCAGAGCTAGCACTACATCTGAATGCAACTGCTCCAAACTCACTGCTCTCTTTACCCAATTCTAATCCACATCCAATACCTTTTGATAGAGTCTCTGCTTCAAATAACATTTCAAATAACATTTCAAATAATTGTACATTTCATTCTCCTTCACCCCTGAATTCTCCGGCTAGGATGAGACTTGATACTTCCCAGTGAGGAGAATTTTGGCAAAAGACTGTAATGGCATAATCGAGAAAAAATGGTCACAGCAAATACCTAGGAAGAACTAATGCCATCTTTTCTGATTATTAAAATTGTTGTTTTGCCATAATTTCAAATATTTTGCTTTCATTGTAGGACTACAGGTAAAATGGCGATGGATCTAATGGCCTACAGGCACTGAAAAATTTTACGATCATGTCACGAAAGGCAAACATCCAACAATCTCACGATTGTGCAATGGGTAAGACTAGTGAACAATGAAATTCTAATGATATTCAATGCTGCAGGTTTGTGATATTTAAAGTATCAGAGAACCATTTTCAAACACATTTCCAGATGGAACGAAGAACGTTCTGATGTAAAATTACTTGCTAAGTTTAATTATAGAGAGAAAAGTGAAAGCAACACTTATTGCATTTCTGGAAATACAAAACATGTGGTGCCAGAGTTCCACGATTATTGAAACTGACGGGGGTGTCCATGCTGGCTACTACTCTGAAGGAAAAGTGGAGGTGGAGGGGGGGGAACGGGGAAGAGGTATGGGGGTGGCGAACCACTGACATAGGAATATTTTGAGATGGAATCTGTGACTTTAACTACTGCTTCAGGATCAGTCAGCACTTGATTTCATTTACTACTCTTTGGTTAATGTACTTACCTAAAACATAAGCAGCGACTAATTTCTGATTGACACTTAAGTGGAGGTAGACAGGCACCAGAGATTCAGCTTCCCCAAGTGTTGGTAACATTAATGCTATGATACAGATGATTCCCAGGAAGACTGTAAGTAAACTCGGTCCTGAAGAGGCAGTTCTGGATTCTGAAAATTAATTAGATGATTGAGCGATATACAGAATCATTGATCTATATAGCAGAGACACAAGGAGGTAAAACATTAATTTTATGCTAGGATCTTGATTTTCTCTGTAGAGAATCTCCTGGTCTGGCCTGTAATGGTTGTGTTAGCACTCATACCGAAGATAAAACAATTATTTCCACAAATGTGATGTTTAAAGTCACCACCATTTTTTATTTGAAGGATGTGTTTACGCAGTAAAAAGCCTCAGCTGGCCTTGCACACAACTGCACGACGCTCACTAGAAAATTCTGAGCAAATGCTGATGACAGACGCCATGAGCTAGCAGAAATAGAAACACAATAGTTACTTCTCATCCCTATTCAATGACTGCTGCACATTGTCATGCAAAGGCCAGACCCAAGTTGAGTTCTTATTATGTCTCTCATGGTTGAACAGCTTTTTGAAACTCAGCCATGAAGTCACTTGTGTGAAACTCAAGACAGCTATGAGTGCCATGGCATCTGTACTCCACAGGAGAGATGAAATCACTGAGACTTAAGATCAGCTAAGGACAGTATTCACTTAGTGCAGGCAGTCAGTTCCCATAAAGAGGCAAACAATAACGGTTCCAAAGTCATATCGGACTTGAAACGTTAACTCCCATAATGCTGCCTGACCTAGAGTTTCTTCAGCACTCTTTGTTTCAGATTTCCAGCATCTGCAGTATTTTGCTTTTAAACAGCAATGACTTCTCACAAAAAAAATGACAAAGGCAATTACATTTTTACAGAAGTAAGAAACAGGGATCTAGCAGTTGTGGGTGCACAACTGTATTGCATTTCATAGAAACACAGGAAGAGGAGTAGGCCATTCAGCCCCTCAGGTCTGTTCTGCCATTCAATCAGATCACAGCTGATTTGTGGCCTGTGACCTTTTGCCCATATCCTTAAGTAAATGTATTAACAAAATTTATCAATCAAGGATTTAAAATTAACAACTGATCTAGCATCAACTGCAGTTTGTGGAAGAGAGTTCCAAACCTCTACCACCCTTTGTGTATAGAATTGCTTCTTAACAGTCTCCTGAACAGTCTGGCTCTAATTTGTAGGCAATGCCCCCAGTTCTAAAACCTCCAACCAGAGTAAATAGTATATTTTTACATACCCTGTCTTTTCCTGTTATTATCTTGATGACATTGATCAGATCACCTTTAACCTTCTAAATTCTAGAGAAAAAAGGTTTAATTTGTATAATCTCTCCTCATAACTTAACCTCTGAAGTCCAGGTATCATTCTTGTAAATTAATGTTGTACTCCCTCCAAGGCCAATACATCCTTCCTAAGGTAGTGAACAGATCTGTTCATATACTCCAAGTGTGTCTAATCTGGGTTTTGTATAGTTACAACGTAACATCTGTACTCTTATACTCTAGTCCTCAAGATATCAAGGTCAACACTCAGTTTTCTTGATTACTTTTTGCACCTGTTAGTGGCATTTTAAATAACGATGCACCTGAACTCCCAAGTCTCTTGGGTCATCCACTGTATATAACTTCATGCCATCTAGAAGGTATCCTCATCTATCTTTTTCAGTCCAACATTTATTTCATTAGAAATATCACTTTAAAGCAGAGTTCAGTTGACATTTTATGTCCTAGTTAGAAGGGTCTAGAAACTATTGAATGACTAATAACTAGTTAAACTCCTGAGATAGCCAAGTTAATGGGGAGAGTAGAGGATGTCTATGTCACCAGCTAGGCCAATATTTACTGTCCATCCCTAACTGGCTGCCTTCTTGAACTGTAGTCTATCCAATGTAGGTATAAACCCACACTGGTAGAAAGGGTTAGAATTAGAGTTCCAAGATTTTGATCCAGTGACAGTGAAACCATACCAATACAGTTCCAAGTCAGGATGGTATGTGACAGGGAGGAGAATTTGCCATTGGTAGTGTTCCAGCTTCTGTTGTCCTTGTCTTTCACATCGGATTTTGAAGCCTTATACATTAAAGTTGATCTTTCTCTGCAGCTGTAACACTACATTCTGATTCTAATACCCTAATACCCTTTAACTAATACCCTAGTTAAAGTATGATTTAACTAATTAGCAACAAAACTATATTTTTCACTGGAAAAGCTCAGCAGGTTTGGCAGCATCTGTGAAGGAAAAAAACAGAGTTAACGTTTCGGGTCTGGTGACCCTTCCTCAGAACCCCACTTCCGAGGAAGAGTCACCGGACCCGAAACGTTAACTGTTTTTTCCTTCACAGATGCTGCCAGACCTGCTGTGCTTTTCCAGCAACTCTGGTTTTGTTTCTGATTTACAGCATCCGCAGTTCTTTCCGTTTTTATATTTTTCACTGTATCTTGGTATATGTGACAATAATAACTCAAACAAAATATCAACTTTCAGCACAGCCAGCATTGTTTGTATCTTCTCTTTACCAAAATTTAGATCATCCTGTTAATTAACTACTCCCTCACTATGATTTAACTGCTTCTTGTCCTTCCTTAGTACAGTTGCAAACTCATATCTCATATACGTTCCCTTCCTCCATGTGGAGGCTTGATAACAACGGGGAAGCAGCTGTTCTTGAAATTGTCTGTACATGTTTCAAAATTTTGTACATTCGATCTGATGGATGAGGGTGAAAGAGAGCATAAGTGGGATGGGAGGGGTTGTTGATTACGTTAGCTGCTTTCCCGAGGCAGTGGGAAACGTAGACGGAGTCAATGGATGAAAGGCTGGTTTTCGTGATGGACTGGGCTGCACTCACAACTCGCTTATATCTCGCAGTCTTGAGCAGAGAGCAGTTGCCATACCGAGTTGTGATGCATCCAGATAGGATGGTTTCTAATGGTGCATCTGTAAAAATTGCTAAGTTTCCTTGGGGATGTGCCATATTTCCTTAGCCTTCTGTAGGAGTAGAGGCATTGGTGTGTTTTTTTGACTGTAGTGTCAGTGTGGATGGACCAGGACAGACTGATGGAGGTATTTACTCTGAGGAACCTGAAGCTACTGACCACCACCACCTCAGCACCACTGATACAGACAGGGGTGTGTCCTCCACTCCGTTTCCTAAAGTTCACAACTAGCTCCTTCGCTTTGCTCACGTTGGAGGAGAGATTGATGTCTTTACAGCATCCCACTAAGCTGTCTAGCTCTTTCCTGTACTCTTGTCTTGTCGTTGTTTGAGATCCAATCCACTACGATGGTGCCGTCAGCAAATTTGTAAATGGAGTTAGAGCGGAGTTTGGCCAAACTGTTGAGTGTATAGGAGCATAGCAAAGATTGAGTGTGCAGCCTTGCAGGGCACTGGTGTTGAGGATTATTGTGGAAGAGGTGTTGTCACCCATCCTTACTGGTTGCAGTCTGCAGGTCAGGAAGTCGAGGTTTTTTTTTCTCCCTTGTTTTTCAAGGACCACAATTCATCCCCGCCTCCTTGACCTGTCCGTCTTCTCTCCCACTTATCTGCTCCACCATCCACCTTCTATCACCGCCCACCCTCTCTATTTATTTCAGAGTCCCCTTCCCCTCCCCCATTTTTGAAGAAGGGTCCAGACCAGACATGTCAGCCTTCCTGCTCCTCTGATGCTGCCCGGCCTGCTGTGTTCATCCAGCTCCACACCTTGTTATCTCAGACCCCAGCATCGGCAGTTTCTACTATCTGAGGTCTTTTTTTCTATTAGTTTGTGGGATGTGGGTGTTGCTGGCTGGGCCAGCATTTCTTACTCCTCCCTCGTTGCCCTTGAGAAGGTGGTGGTGAGCTGCCTCATTGAACTCTGCTGTAGTTTGACCCACAAATGCCATTAGGGATGGAATTCCGGGATTTTGACCCAGCGACAGTGAAGGAACGGCGATATATTTCCAAGTCAGGATGGTAAGTAGCTTGGTGGTGGTGGTCTTCCCATATATCTGCTGCCTTTGTCCATCTAGTTGGAAGTGGTTGTGGGTTTGAAAGTGCTGAATGAGGATCTTTGGTGAATTTCTGCTGTGCATCTTGTCGATAGTACACACTCCTGCTACTGAGCATTAGTGGTGGAGGGAGTGGATGACCATAAGACATAGGAGCAGAAATTAGGCCATTCCGCCCATTGAGCCTGCTCCGCCATTTAATCATGGCTAATAAGTTTCTTAACCCCATTCTCCCACTTTCTCCCCATAACCCTTGATAATCAAGAACCTATCTATCTCAGTCTTAAATGTACTCAATGAGCTAGCCCCCACAGCCTTGTGGTTACAAGATGAAGAGAGGCATAGAGTGGATAGCCAGAGACTTTATCCCAGTGCGGAAATGACTATTACGAGGGGGCATAATTTAAAATTGATTTGAGGAAAGTATAGGGGAGATGTCAGAGGTAGGTTCTTTGCACAGAGAGTGGAGGGCATGTGGAATGCGCTGCCGGCAGTGGTAGTGGAGTCAGATACTTTATAGACCTTTATGCGACTCTTGGATAGGCACATGGATGATAGTAAAATGTAGGGTATGCAGGGTAGATTGATCTTAGTAGGATAGTAGGTCGGCACAACATTGCGGGCCAAAGGGCCTGTACTGTGCGGTACTGTTCTATGGTCTATGTTCTGGGTAGTGCCAATCAAGCAGGCTGCTTTGTGCTGGATGGTGTCAAGCTTCTTAAGTGTTACTGGGGCTGCATTCATCCAGACAAGTGGGGAATATTCCATCAGATTCCTGACTTGTGCCTTGTAGATGGTGGACAGGCTTTGTGGAGTCAGGAGGTGAGGTACTCGCCGCAGTATTCCTAGCTTCTGGCCTGCTCTTGTAGGTACTGCGTTTATGTGGGGAGTCCAGTTGAGTTTCTGGTCAAAGGTAACACCTAGAATGTTGTTAGTGGGGGATTCAGTGATGATAACACTGTTGAATGTCAAAGGGTGATGGTTAGATGGTCTCTTATTGGTGAGAGTCATAGCCTGGCATTTGTGTGGCATGAATGTCACTTGCCACTTGTCAGCCCAACCCTGGATATTGTCCAGATCTTGTTGCATTTGAACACAGACTACATCAGTATCTGAAGAGTCATGTACTGTGCTGAACATTGTATAATCATTGGCAAACACCCTGACTTCTGATCTTATGATGGATGGAAGGTCATTAATGAAGCAGCTGAAGATGGTTGGGCCGAAGACACTACTCTGAGGAACACCAGCAGAGATGTCCTGGAGCTGGGATGACTGACCTCCAACAACTACAACCATCTTCCTATGTGTCAGGTATGACTCCAACCAACGGAGAGTTTGCCTCCGATACTCATTCATTCCAGTTTTGCTAGGGCTCCTTGATGCCACACTCCGTCAAATGCATCCTTAATGTCAAGGATTGTCACTCTCACCGCACTTTTGGAATTCAGCCGTTTTGTCCATATTGAACTAAGGCTATAATAACGTCAGGAGCTGAGTGACTCTGGTGAAACCCAAAGGGGGCGTCATTGAGTAGGTTATTGCTGAGCAGGTACTGCTTGATAGCTCTATTGATGACACCTTCCATCACTTTACTGATGATTGAGAGTAGACTGATGGGGCAGTAATTGGCCAGGTAGGATTTGTCCTGCTTTTTTGCGGACAGGACATACTTGGGCAATTTTCTACACTGCCGGGTAGATACTAGTGTTGCAACTGGACTGGAACAGTTTGGCTAGGGGAGCGGCAAGTTCTGGAGCACAAATCTTCAGCATTATTGCTGGAATGTTGTCAGGGTCTGTAGCCTTTGCAGTATCCAGTATCTCCAGTATCATGCGGAGTGAACTGAATTGGCTGAAGACTGGTATCTGTAATGCTAGGGACTACTGGAGGAGGCCGAGATGGATAATCCACTAGGCACTTCGAGCTGAAGATTGATGCGAATGATTTAGCCTTATCTTTTGCACTGATGTGCTGGGCTTTCCCGTCATTGAGGATGGGGATATTGGTGGAGCCTCCTCCTCCAGGGAGATGTTTAATTGTCCATCACCATTCATGACTGGACGTGGCAGGACTGCAGAGCTTAGATCTGTTCCTTTGGTTGTGGGATCACTCAGCTCTGTCTATCACTCGCTGCTTTCGCTGTGTGGCGGCTTCATCAGGTCGATATCGCATCTTCAGGTATGCCTGGTGCTGCTCCTGGCATGCCCTCCTGCTCTCTCTCCATTGAACCAGGGTTGATCCCCTGGCTTGATGGTAATGGTTGAGTGGGAGATATGTCGGACCACGAGGTTACAGATTGTGCTGGAGTACAATTCTGCTGCTGTCGTTGGCCCACAGCGCCTCATGGATGCCTAGTCTTGAGTTGCTAGATCTGTGCAAAGTCTGTCCCATTTAGCACGGTGATAGTGCTACACAACACGATGGAAGTTATTCTCAATGTGAAGGTGGGATTCCATCTCCACAAGGACCGTACGATGGTCACTCTTACTAATACTGTCATGGACAGATGCAACTGCAGCTGGCAGATTGGTAAGGATAACGTCAAGTATGTTTTTCCCTCTTACTGGTTCCCTTACAACCTGCTGCAGACCCAGTCTAGCAGCTATGTCCTTTAGGGCCCGACTAGCTCGATCAGCAGTACAGCTGCTGAGCCACTCTTGCTTGTGGACAATGAAATCTCCCACCCAGAGTACATTTTGTGTCCTTGCCATCCTCAGTGCTTCCTCTAAGTGTTGTTCAACATGGAGGAGTACTGATTCATCAGCTGAGGAAGGACGGTACGTGGTAATCAGCAGGAGGTTTCCTTGTCCATGTTTAACGTGAAGCCATGAGACTTCACGGGGTCCGCAGTCAATGTCGAGGACTATGAGAGCAACACCCTCCCGACTGTATACCGCTGTGCCACCACACCGATTCGGTCTGTCCTGCTGGTGAGACAGAACATATCTAGGATGGTGATGGTGGTGTCTGGGACACTGTCTGTAAAGTATGATTCTGTGAGTATGGCTATGTCAGGCTGTTGCTTAACTAGTCTGTGAGACAGCTCTCCCAATTTTGGCACTAGCCCCCAGATGTTAGGTGAGGAGGACTTTGCAGGGTCAAGGCTGTTTCTGCCATTGTCTTTTCCGGTGCCCAGGTCGATGCCAGGTGATCCGTCCAGTTTCATTTCTTTGAGACTTTGTAGCGATTGGTACAACTGAGTCGCTTGTTGGCCATTTCAGAGGGCAATTGAGAGTCAACCACAGCGCTGTGGGTCTGGAGTTACATGTAGGCCAGACCAGGTGAGGGTGGCAGATGTCCTTCCCTGAAGGGCATTAGATGGGTTTTTCTGACAATTGGCAGTGATTTCATGGTTATCAGTAGATTCTTAATTCCACACTTTTTAATGTGCAGAGAAGGTAGTAGTTTGGAGATGAGTTTGGTTCCCTTTGAGTCTCAATTGGACCCACTACTCCTCCACCTTTTCAGTATTTTTATGCTTATGGAAGACTTCTGAATTCTCTCTTATTGTCTGCTAGGATCTTCTGAATTTCAGTTTGCTTCTTCTATTTCCCCTTTGAACTTTCTGAATTGTCAACTTTTCACTTTTGCTACCAATCTGACATCTGTCAAATGCAACCTTACTTCACTTCATCTTCCTCTCTTCCTCTTCTATAATTAAAGGACCTCTGAATTTGTCTCCCCTGTCTTTCTCTTTCATAGGAATATATCTCAACTGCGCCCAAATGATGTCCTCTTTAAAGGCAGCCCATTGCTTGATACCGTTTTACCTGACAATACAATATTTGATTCCAGCTTACCACAGGCAGATTGATTCTCACTCCATTGAAGTTGGTTCACTCCAGATTTCTCCATTCTTTTCTATGGTTAACCTCAATGTTATGCTGTCATGGTCTCCTAAACGTTCCCTGACTGGTGCTTGATCAATTTGTCTCCTCTCATTCCCAACAGCTAAGTCCAGCAATGCCTTCTTTCTCATTGGACCGGACACACAATGCTATAGAAAACTCTCCTGCACACATCTAGGAACACTCTGTCCTTTACATTCCAGTCTATGTTAGGATAATTGAGATCCTTCAATATAACTACTCTATATTTTCGCATCTCTCAGTAAATTCACCCGTATTAGGTGATCTTTAGACGACATCCTTCGTACAACATTACCTCTACTGTCTAACTATCCAAATAGTTTCAGTCCTGGAGCTACCTAGCACTTTAGCATTCGCTTTAATACTGCTACCTCCCCCTCTTTTCTTCCCCAAACATCTTGTAACCAAGGATATTTCATACCCAGTCCCGTCCTGCTTTGAGGAAGGTATCCTTTATTGTTATTCTATAGCTATCTGTACCTGCAGCTCACCTCAGTAATTTCATTAAATTCTTTTCTAAAGCCTCCCATTATATTCATTTACCAATTTTCCCAGTTTACTGTGAACAGAATTTATCTGATCCCGTTGAACAATAACCTGCATTTATATAACCTATAAAGTAATAAAACTTTATTTAAAATGGTCATATCCAAATTGGTTGCAGTGTTCCATCTAGTTCTTTTGCTGACCATTTTCATCTCACACTATCAATATTACCTTTTAGTCCTTTTTCCATCATGTGATCATCCTGCATCTAGTTATTCACCTCAGTCTCTCCCATGGCATAGCTTAAAAAGTTGACAGACGAAGTGACAGTAAAGTTTACCTACCCTGCTGGAATGAGGTCTGTTCAAAAAACACAGCTTCTGCAAGGTGCTCTTTGATGCGTTTGTCTTCCTCCTCTTTCTGTTGTTGCTCCTTTGTTGATGGGAGGAGAACAGAAATCACCTCTTTTTTACCTAGTGCTTTCCGCTGGCTTTGTTCTGACACTTGCAGCCGAAATTTGTCTATGATTCCATAGTGGCAAGGCCGTACATCTCGATGGCGAATGACGCTGGAAACGGGAGTGAGAAAAAAACAGTTCCTGCCTTTTATTGAATAAAACAGCCAATCGCAACTACAGGACACAAACAAGAAACGTAGAAAATAGGAACAAGGGTTTTCAATTCAGCCCTTCAAGCCTGCTCCAAAGTCCAGTATGATCATGACTGATCATCCAATTCAGTACCCTGTTCCTGTTTTCTTCCCATACCCTTCAATCCCCTCAGCCTCAAGAACCATATCTGCATCTTGCTTGAAAGTTTTGGTCTCAACCATTTTCCATGGCTTAGACTTCCACAGGTTCATCACTCTCTGGATGACGAAATTTCTCCTCATCACAGTTCTAAATAGCCTAACCCGTATCCTTATTCTCTGACCCCTAGTTCTGGACCCCTCCCACCCCCTCACACCACCCCCCACCCCGGATCATTGGGAACATTTTTCCTGCATTTATCCTGTCTAGGCTCGTTAGAGGTTTCAATAAGATTCCCCTTCATCCTTCTGAACTCCAGGGAACTTAGTCCTAATCGATCCAGTCTCTCTTCATATGTCGGTCATGCCAGTCCAGGAATCAGTCTGGTAAACCCTTGTTGCAATCCCTCCAGGAGACGCAGCAAAAATTCATCCCTAGGAAAAAGCAGCATGGTACAGGGAGGATGAGGCAAGCATGGCTGACTAAGGAAGTCAGGGATAGCATAAAAGCAAAAGAGAAAGCATATAATGTGGCGAAGAGCAGTGGGAAACCAGAGGACTGGGAAGCTTACAAAGACCAACAGAGGGCAACAAATGAAGAAATAAGGAGGGTGAAGATTAAATATGAGAGTAAGCTAGCCAGTAATACAAATGAAGACTGTAAGAGTTTCTTTAGGTATATAAAGGGCAAAAGAGAAGCAAAAGTGGACATTGGACCACTAGAAAATGACGGTGGAGAGATAGTAGGGGGGAAAACAAGGAAATGGCTGAGGAACTGAATAATTACTTCATGTCAGTCTTCACAGTGGAAGACACGAGTAATATCCCAAAAATTCAAGAGTCAGGGGGCAGAGCTGAGTGTGGTGGCCATCACCAAGGAAAAGGTGCTAGTAAAACCGATTGGCCTAAAGGTGGACAAATCACCTGGACCAGATGGACTACAAGCCAGAGTTCTAAAGGAGATAGCTGAAGAGATAGTGGAGGCATTAGTGGCGATCTTTCAGGAATCACTAGGGTCCCAGAGGACTGGAAAATCGCTAACGTGACACCCCTGTTTAAAAAGGGAGTAAGGCAAAAGTTGGAAAATTACAGGCCGATTAGCGTAACTTTGGTCGTGGGCGAGATTTTGGAGTCCATTGTAAAGGATGAGATTTCTGAATATTTGGAAGTGTATGGTAAAATAGGGCAAAGACAGCATGGCTTCATCAAGGGGAGGTCATGTCTGACAAATCTGCTAGAATTCTTTGAGGAAGTAACGAGCAAGGTAGACCAAGGAGAGCCAATGGATATTATCTACCTGGACTTCAAGAAGGCCTTTGATAAAGTTCCACACAGGAGGCTGCTGAGTAAGGTAAGGGCCCATGGTGTTAGAGGCAATGTGCTAGCATGGATTGAAGATTGGCTGTCTGGCAGAAAGCAGACAGTGGGGATAAAGGGGTCTTTCTCAGGATGGCAGCCGGTGACAAGTGGTGTTCCATTGGCGTCAGCGTTGGGACCATAACTTTTCACTTTGTGAAAAAGTAATGATCTAGATGAAGGAACTGTGGGCATTCTGGCTAAGTTTGCAGACGATACAAAGATAGATGGAGGGACAGGTAGTATTGAGGTGGTGGCAAGGCTTCAGAAGGATTTGGACAGGTTAGGAGAGTGGGCAAAGAAGTGGCAGATGGAGTACAACGTGGGAAAGTGTGAGATCATGCACTTTGGTAAGAAAAATAAAAGCATGGACTATTTTCTAAATGGGGAGAAAATTCAGAAGTCTGAAGTGCAAAGAGACTTGGAAGTTCTAGTCCAGGATTCTCTCAAGGTAAGCTTGCTGGTTGAGTCAGTAGTCAGGAAGGCAAATCCAATGTTGCATTTATTTTGAGGACTTGAATATAAAAGCAGGGATGTACTACTGAGGCTTTATAAGGCTCTCGTCAGGCCACATTTGGAGTACTGTGTGCAGTTTTGGGCCCCATATCTCAGGAAGGATGTACTGGCCCTGGAGCAGGTTCAGAGGAGGTTCACGAGAACGATCCCAGGAATGGAAAGTTTAACATATGAGGAACGTTTCAGGACTCTGCGACTATACTCATTGGAGTTTAGAAGGATGAGGGGAGATTTAATTGAAACTTTCAGAATACTGAATGGCCTGGATAGAGTGGATGTTGGGAAGATGCTTCCATCGGTAGCAGAGTCTAGGACCCGTGGACACAGCCTTAGAGTAAAGGGAAGATCTTTTAGAACAGAGATAAGGAGATTCTTCTTCAGCCAGAGAGTGATGAATCTATGAAATTCACTGCCACAGAAGGCTGTGGAGGCCAGGTCATTGAGTACATTTAAGACTGAGATAGATAGGTTCTTGATTATCAAGGGGATCAAGGGTTATAGGGAGAAAGCAGGAGAATGGGATTGAGGAACTTATCAGCCATGATTGAATTGCGCAGCAGACTCGGTGGGCCGAATGGCCCAATTTCTGCTCCTACGTCATATAACAAGAACATCCTTCCTCAGATTATGAGATCAAAACTGCACACATACTCCAGATACGGTCTCCCCAGGGCCCTGTTCAATTGCAGTAAGACATCCCTGCTCCTGTACTTGAATCCTCTCACTATGAAAGCCACCATACAATTTGCCTTCTTCACTGCATGCTGCACCTGCATGCTTACTTTCAGTGACTGATGCACAAGGACACCCAGGTCTCGTTACACCACCCTCTTTCCCAAACCATCACTGTTCAGATAATAACCTGCCTTCCTGTTTTTGCTACGAGTGTGAATAACCTCACATTTATATACAGGACTTGAGCACCTCTCAATTGTGCAGCTCGACTCTGGGGTCAACAGGAAATTGAAACCTTCAATTTCCTAGAACACTTATTGTGCTCTTTTCATTTTGTTATTTCCCAATTTTGAAATTACAATGGAGAAAAATGGGAGGCAACAACTTTGCAGTTGCATCATAAGGCATCATATATCACCAAGCCATTTAAGGAACTATCAAGTCAAGTGACCTAAGGTTTGGCCAAAGAGTTGAGTTTTAAGGCACATCTTAAACATACATGCCTAGAATTAGAAACAGAAGTAGATCATTTGGCTTCTCAAACATCTACCACCATTCAATAACATCATGGTCGATCGATTGTGTTTTGAATCCCAGATTCTCATCTACCTCAATACCTTTGATTCCCATGCCCCCACAAGAATCAATCCGCTCCATCCCAAAAATATTTAATGACCTGCCTCCCCTGGCTTCTGAGGCAGAGTTTAGAGCTCAGGAAGCTGGAGGCACAGCTGTAACAGTCGACCAGATAAAATTGGGGATGCACAGCAGGCCAGGATGCAGGTATCTCAAAAGGTTGTGGCCTGGGAAAAGTTAGAAATAGGGAAGGGCGATGACATGGTGAAAACAAAGATGGGGATTTTAAAATCAAGCTGTTACTTAGCAAGAGCCAATGAAAGGCAGAGAAGACAGGGGCAATAGGGGAAAACAGGACTTCATGACAGTTAAGATACAGGAGGTGGAGTTTTGGATGGGTTCTTGTTTACAGAATACAGCATTTTGGAGACAATCAAAGAGTACCTTGCAATTAAGTCTACAGGTAATGAAAGGTCAGAGCAACAGAAAAGTTGAGAGGGGTTGAAGTTGGGCAATTTTGCAGAGGTGAAATTATGGGGAGACATACAACTCAAAGGGTTTGGGGGTTCAAGCTCCACTCTGCTAACTGGGCATATCATCTAGATTGTCAGAAAGTAAGAAATGCAATCAGCCTTTCAAACTTGCTTTCATCTTCCATAAGATCATGGCTGATCCGATGGTGGCCAGCACTCCAGATACCAGCCTGGACCCCCATAACCCTTGACTCTCTGGTGGACCAACAGGCCTGCTTCACTCAGCTTTCAGTACATTCAATGATGCATTCGTCACAGTTCACCCAAGCAGAGAATTCAAAACAATTGCTCCCGAAAGATAAAATTCCTACTTACAGCCATCTTAAATGGGAGACACGATTCGATTTGATGGAGTATGGAAGCAGCGCTATAGTATCTATGAATCAGTGCTGAAGGAGTACCTCACTGTTGGGAGGGTCAGTGCTGAGGGAGCACCAGTCTGTCGGAGGGTCAGTGCTGAGGGAATGCCACAACGTAGGGGGTTCTGCACGAGTGAGTGTCGCAATGTCAGAGGTTCAGTACTCAGGGAGTGCCACACTATTGAAACATGGTAGCGTCAACATCTATGCACAGATAAACACAAAGCACAGCTCCCTAATATTCCAATATAGTAGCAGATTCAGTTGATGACGATTCTTCACTTACATGTCGACACAGCACTGAGGCTTCACTGCACCTGCAGCATCAACAACAACATATTTGTTTGGGGCTGTACATAAGACTGAAAAGATAAAAAAGTAAACATTAACCGGTTAAAAAAGCTTTACCACTGAAAAAGTTGTTTACTCTAAGCCAACGTGAAGCTGCAGACGTACCTTTGAATATTAAGGCAAACTCGTACGGATTGTAAAGAGTTAACACTTGTTTGTGTGATGATTGATCATCTGCATAAAATATCAATTCTGTTGGAAATACAAAGACAGGAAGATTTCCTTCCACTAATTCTGGCTGTCGCCTGTGTTGCTGCATTGGCACCGAATAATTTGTATGTTCTTGCTCACTTAAACCCTTTTAGAACACTTTACTTGTTTAACAGTCCTCTGAGCATTGTGACAGACCTGTAGAGACAAATGAAAATGATGCTATTAGAGAATGATATTGATCCAACGCATGTGGGTCAAGATTGCACAATAAATTTGTTTTGCCTTTTGATGCAGTTCTAGGGCATTAACCGATGAATGAACTGACATCATAAACATCCAACTGCTCACAAACAAAGTGATATTCTACTTTAGATCCACCATCCAACCCATGATGAAGATTTATCATCCTCTCTCACTTGACCCAAATACAGAGAATTTCAAGGCCTGTAAGATTGATCAAAGCTCCTTCCCCATGTTACTCAAACTCACTGAACCTGGCAGCAAACAATTGAACATCCCCATGATTTTGACTCCACCTGATCGGGAACTCCCTCCCTAAAATTCCTGTGGGTGACCCTATACCCCAAGGACTGCAAAGGCTGAAGTAGTTTACCACCTTTTTCTCCAAAGCAATTGGGGATAGAAAATAAATGCTGGCTTCACCAGAGACATCCACATCCCATGAATGAACAAAATGAAAACCGTGGCTGATCATCCAACTCAGTAACCTGCTCCTGAATTCTCCCAATGGCCTTAGATCCCTTTAGCCCTAAGGACCATATTTAACTTCTTTTTGAAAATGTTTCATTTTTTAAAAAAAAACTTGATTCGGCTGCCAAGGAAATGCTTTATTCCTTTGCTTAAGATGGGAGATATACTGCTTTGATTTGGTCATATCCCTGATCAGCTAGTTTCCTCCTCTTCCACCACCTTTAGTTCAAATGCTGCAGTGAGAAAAATATTTTACTGTGGAATCAAGCTAACAAAAGAGAACAAGAGAATTGGTGAGTAGCTGTGAAAAGTAAAGATGAAGTGGGATAATGTAGCACCAACAACATTTAAAAAAAAACTGTTACTGGGATCACTGCAATGAGATCCATTTTATAAGCTTCTAGGACAGATCCTGAGGAAGATCTACTTACAAAGTTCCAGTTCAACCTAACAGTAACAGAATCAGGAATCGCAGCTACACAGTGCTCTGTCACACCAATAGACACTCTTTTCAATTTTCCTCCCTTCATTGTCTTCTCTTTCTTTTCATTTCACAATGAATTTGTTTCGCCTTTTGATGCAGTTCTAGGGCATTAACCGATGAATGAACTGACATCATAAACATCCAATTGCTCACAAACAAAGTGATATTCTACTTTCAAAATTGTTTAGAAGTCACTCATTTTGAGCAATGAAAAATGCTGCCTAACTGCTACAGCTGTAGATGTTTTCAAAATGAAGTGATTACATATCTCACACCCCTCCAACAGCCATTGTTGAAAGCTGAACCAGACTGGCCACAACTCAGCTCTTGAGCTGAGCTTCCAACTCCAATCCCAGCTATAACTGCCTGCTGCTGAAACTCTCATCCATGCCTTCATTACCACTAGATTGAATATTCCAGTAGTCTTCTTCTGGTTGGCACCCCACCTCTGTTTTTTTTTCAAAAAATGCTTTCACAAGGTTAGCACATTGCTGGCAAAGCTCTCATTTTTGCCTGACCCTCAAACTGAATGGCTTGTGAGGCGATTTCAGAGGACTATGGAGTTAGATGTAGGCCAGACCAAGTAAAGACAGTATTGTTTTTTGTATTCAATCATGGGATGAAGAAGTTGCTGGCTAGGCCAGAATTTACTACCCATCCCTAATTGCTCAGAGGGTAGTTTTTTTTCCCCTAATGGATATGAGTAAACTAGATGGGTTTTTCCAACAACTGACTATAGATTCATGGTCAGCATTAGTTCCAGATTCAGAGTCCAGATTTTTATCGAACTCGAATTCTACAATCTGCCATGGCAGGGTTAAAACCCAGCTTCCCAGAATATTATCTGGGTTTCTGGATTAACTGTCCAGTGGTAATACCACTTTCATCCTAGCAGCCGAAGAATTTAAGTTCAATGATTGAAATAAAACCAGGAATAGAAGGTTAATATCAGTGATCATGACCACCACCTTGTCATTCCTAAATAAAAAGATACAGATATATTCACTAAGGAAAGAAATGCGATGTGCTTACTCAATGTGGCTCCTATAGATGATTGTACATTCATAGTCTCTGAAATGCTCTACCAAAACAGAATTATACTCAAGGCAGTGGCTCACCATGACAGATAGACAACAGATGGCTTGAATCTTGGCATTGACCTCCACATCCCTTAAAAGGAGGAAAACACTGGCAGCCATATATTCCTTTGCCTGAGCCTTAAGATGGAATACCCCTCCTAAGTCTTTCCATATTCCTCAACCACAAAAACTTTGACCAAGCTTTTGGTCACCAACTTAATACCTCCTTGGTATTTTATCGTATCACACTCCTGTAGATAGGGTAGCTTACACACACTGTAGAAGTGCAAGATATTGTTTATATACCCAGAAATATCCTAAAGATTTCTATTATAGCACCACTGACAATTCCATAGCTTTACCCTCCAATGCTCCATTTCTGAGTGAATTACAGTAGTTGTGGCCCTACCATTCAACCAGAACACCTGGGCTCAAGTCCCATCTGCTTCAGTTGTGTATCATAACGTTTGAACAGGTTGATTAAAAATATTTTGAAATGTTATTAGCGCAAAATGCTTCTTGTACCTGCATGCCTTCATCCCATTCACGAATTTTACATGAATGATCCAGATTTACTGCTGAGGCAATAATGACCTCACAAATTAATTAGAGACACATATCTCAACAAAAAAAATTCAATTTTCTCAAATCTTTATCTCTAATCCAGACCCTGATCTAAGAACCAGCCATGTAGCTCCTCACTGCTGTTTCAGCTCTGTAATCGTGCTCTTATATCTCGCTGACCAAGAACACTACCATTTGCCTGAGGTGGGTCCAAGTGGGAACCAGAACCTGAGCTTGAGGTCGATCCAAGTGGAACAGTGCCTGTGCTTAAAACGGGTCCAAGCAGAAATCGACCTGAGCTCTAAGAGGGATCGCATGGAATGGGATCCATGTTTGAGGTGGGTCAGAACAGAACTGGACCCTGTGCTTGGAATACACCCTCAGCAGAACCCTACACAGGTGGAGCATGGCTTTCTATGGCTTACAGTTTGACGCTAATTGCATGTTGAGATTCACGGTCTTCACGCACTACTGAAGCATTTTTAAATAAGACAATGTAGGAGGTTGTTAAACCCAGAAAGACGTTAAAGCTGTTTGAGGGAATTGGGGGAGGCAGAATGGCAGGGGTGAGGGGGAAGGGTAACCCAGGAATTGGGCCTCAGATAATAATAGGTCAGTTAATGAACAATTAAAATTTCTTCAAGAATAGAGCACATAAAGAAAGATGGTTGGTTAGTAATTCTTGCCTTGCTGTATTACTTGTGGCTATCAATACTCAGGTCTGTACATACACAAACTAAACAGGGAGCGCCGCACTGTCGGAGGGTCGGCGCCGAGGGAGCGCCGCAC